TAATATTTAATTTCATTAAACTTGGCCTCTATGACCACCACTAATAATGCAATGATGAATACCACGGTTGCTTTATTGATCATCATTTTTATTCCTCTACTTTTGATGATTATTGTATTCAAGTAATCGCAAATGAACTTCAACAACAGAAAAAAAAACAATGATTACGATGTGAATACGCAGTGAGTCGTCTTCCTATAATTTGAGTCATAGTCATTTTCGAAATTGGAAATGCTGTTTTTTTTTCTTTCTTTATTTTTTTTAAAGGAAACATAAAAGAGAAATAGATCCATTAGAAGGTTATAATCAATATCAGGTGAAAAGAAATAAAGAAAATACAAAGACAAGAGGATAATGATTAAGACATTTTTTTGAATTAAGTTGACTTTTATAAACACAAACACAACAAGGGAATGAAACAAATTGTTCACTTTCACGTCTAGTTGTTCGACATATAAAGCACTATCGTTGAATGGTAGTTTTCTTTTCTTTTACACTTCTACGGAATTGTTTGTAGAAACACAAATTGGTTAAATTCTTGGAGAAAAATTGTTGTCTTATCACTTCACTTATTCGTTTGCATTGTTGGTTCACACACACTTCACTTGTTCGTTTGGATTGTTGGTTCACACACACTTCACTTGTCTGTTTCTTCTTAGTTTTCACTAATGATCGGAGGTTGATATGGCTTCAACTTTCCGATGTGCACACGTTCAATTTGTTTGGTAATTTGATTTCGTATATGGCAGAGGTGGCCAATCTGCGGCTCGCGAGCCACATTTCCCACAGAGCTCTATTGAACAGGGGGCGCACTTTGGCCACCCCTGGTATATGGTTTCTAAAATTTTGTTGACAATTTCAAACGGACCGCTAAACATCGATTCAAGTTTTTCTTTGTTTAATTCATCGGCGAGATTTGCGTACTCTAGGTCACCTTCTTTTAATTGTAAAACTTTGTGTTTTCTTTCTATTCTGTTGTAAATTTATTTCACAACAAATAAAAAAAAAATATCACACAAGACAAGGAAAACAATTAAAAAGGTACTTTTTTCAAACTTTTATTTTTCTGTAAAGTGTGTGTGTTACAAGAACAAAAAATTTTTGATGGTTGTGTTGAGACAGAAAAAAAAAGATAAAAGAAAACGTTCTCCTCTGTTCTGTTCAAAAATAAAGTTACATATTTTTGTTAACAATTCTTTCTTTGATCTTTTCCAGTTCAAAATCTTGACTGGTCCCCTTCATAAAGGACGTAACGAATGTTCCCAACATCACATACATTTATTTTTTTCATTTGTTAATTGTTAGTTTATTTTTAAAAGGGCAAAAATTAATAATTTTTAATCAAAATATTTTTCGAAAAACGCATACAAACGTTTCAACCCAATATTACAAATGCAACCAGCGTTATTGCAAAAAACGAATAGTGGTAAACGAAAATGGAATAATTGAAACGCCATTATCAAAAGAAAAAGAGCACAACCATGATTCATTGATGGACGAAGTTCAAAAGCGACAGAAAATAAATGAATTGAAAATAACTGCTAAATATACTAATGAAAAAACTTGTAGTATCATTTCAAATGTATTAAAGGAATCGCCGAAACCTATCAAAAATATTATGCCGAATAGGAAAAATTTAAAGCAAATTTTAAATTACACAAGACAAAAATACACTATAAAATTTGTAAGTACTGTTTTGATGATAAAATTTATAAATTTTTTTTTCATTCCTATAACTATTGTTTCCGGTAGTCTGATAATATCAACGAATTCATTATTCCACAAGAATTGAAAATTTTAAATGGTCAACAAATTTTACTGATGGATACAAAAAAAAATTGGGATTTAATAATCGTATGCTAATATTCGGTTATAAAAAGTTTCTTCAATTTTTGACTGAATGTGAAATTTTTTTGAAAAAAATCAAAACTACAAGTTTCCAAAAAGGCTTCGCTATAAGTTTGTTAGTAAGTCTGAATATTCGTAACTCGGGTGTTCATAAGTAGAGAAAGAATGGTAACCAGCGTGGGCAACAACCTCGACCGAAAGGTAACCAGCGTGGGCAACAACCTCGACCGAATGGTAACCAGCGTGGGGAACAACCTCGACCGAATCGTTACCGGCGTGGGGTACAACGTCGATTTACGAAGTTAGACAGTTAAATCTGCAAAATTCAATGAGGTTTGCTATAAATAACTTGTAATATAATTTTTGCTAACAATATATATAAAAATATTTTTCGCAATATAATTTTCTCTAGCATCTATAAAGAGGAATTGAAAAAATTATCAAACAAAAAATATAAAAGTCCATTGTGTATCAAAAAAAAATCATGTTTTGATGGACTTGGTATAAACATATTCCAAGTTTCACCACCCGATCTTTTTCACGATATCGTGGAAGGATTTGGGCCAAAAATTGCTCAAATATTGCTAAAATCGGCATCAAAGTCGAGAACTCAAATTAAAAAAATTATCAAACAAATCAAGTGGATAAATGGTCCATTAAAAATCAAAGATGATTTTTCTTTAAAAGGAAAAGGAGCTCAAGTATGTTTCAAGACAATTCATTTGAACAAAATGTAATTTTCTTTTTGCAATTTGAATTTCAGAAATTTGAATTCATTAACCGAATGGTGGAAATTTTTCCCGAATGAATTGAAACATTACCAGAAATTTACCTTTCATTGAGGAAAGTGATTCATAAAATTTTTTCTCCCTCATCATTCGAAATGAACGAATTTGAACATGAATTAAAAAATCTGGTTAGGGTATGTATTAGGGTTTGCACCCGGTTCTGTTGGAACCGGGATTTCCCGGTTCCGGGTTTGTTGGGAACCGAACCGGTTCCAAAAAAAAATTCCCGGTTCTCAAAAAATTATTAAATTGCCTTTGACGATGTCTAAAATGTCTTAAAATGTTGTTTTAAAAACTTTTCGATCGATTGCTACAAGTGATTTTATGATGGCAAACGATATTCAATTTCACTGGATGAATATGCATCAAAGCAAAATCGATGATATCCATCATTATTCTAATTTGTCGATTATTTTTCATGGAGATTTTAATGCTAGTGTTCAGAAAAATGTGTTTTTTATAAACAATTGCATTTATTGAAGTGACAAAATTTGATACAATTAGTAAAGACAATTTTTCATTTATATGTATATTTAAATAATACTAGAAGCTTCTAGAATCTCTAGTTTACAATCATAGTTCAATATATACAGCTGATGTTTTTATTTTCAACAGCTAGCAAACCTTATTTGAATGATACAATAACGAATCGAAATGGATATAAATTTAAAGAAGTGATTACTGATCTGGAATCACAAAAAAGACTTCCTGCTATCCGTCCTGCTATCACGTATGGTTATCAAATTTGGGGAGATAAACTAATCATCAAATCTAGAAATAAGCTTGATTCAATCCAACACAATGTGCAGGTTTTATATCAAATATAATTAGTAAGAATCTGAATTTATAATGACAAATGTTTTGAAATAACGTATGCGTCAAACACACACACACAGAATCCGTTAGATTATTATTTTATCATTTTTTTCAGTGATATTTTTATTAATTAATTTGAATGAATCACTGAATGAATGAATGAATGAAGAAATGTTGAATACATCAAAACGAATGAATTCATAATTGCTTCAAATGTTTTTATTCTAATCGGATTAGATTTGGATTTTTCTCCGTTTAGAAATTCACATGATTTTCATTATAATGTTTTTTCGATTTGATTTGATCAGAATAAGTTCCAGAAATGAGACAAGAATATTTTTTTTCTTTAAAAAACAGAAAAAAAACAAGCCATCACCACCAAATAGATATTTGGTTCTCTTTTTTTGGTGTGAATCAATTTATAAGATGATGTTGTTTTTGTTGTTGAATAAGTGTGAAAACAATCATCATCATCATCATCATCATTGAAGAAACCAAAAATGGAATGAAAAGAGTCATTATGCAACCAAAAAGAAGATCATTTTCTCTTATTTTATGTCCAAAATCATGAATAAAAATTGAAAAATAATAAGTTTTCATGTGAATAAAAAAAACGGGAACGGACCCGGGATTTCCCGGTTTTTTTCCCGTTTTTTGGTTTCGGAACCGGTTCCAATTTTTTCGGGAATTTGCAAACCCTAGTATGTATATGTCTCAAATATTTTTACAAATACTTAAAAAATTAAATGCTTAATTTCAGCTATGTCGACCCCATTTCCAAGTTGTGAAATTACATTTCGCCAAACATTATCCTGAAATGGTCAGCTTTTATGGTCCATTGCTTCCATATCTGGCGCTACGTTTTGAGTGGAAGCATTGGCACCTGAAATGATCAGAATGTCGAATAATTATGGGAATATTGGATATTCCATTTCACATTTACATCAAGAAGTTCAGGCACTTGATTTCAAAAAACAGGCATGTTAAATGAAATGTATAATGTTTGATATATTCAATATATCTTTCTTTTTATTTCAGCAAAGGAAGGATTCAATGTTGAAATTTTTTGAAACAGAGTATGACAGATGATTGGGCATTTTTACAGTTGTTGTAATTATAAGTATGACGTATGCTAAAATACCAGGCTGTAAATTAACACCCAAATTCCATAACATTTTACATTATTGGGAAAATGCATTGGAATTTGGTCCGATTTACAGACATTCATCATACAAATATGAGAGATTTCACCAATTGAACAAACGTTTAATTTCAACATCGAAAAATATGAGAAATCGCTCATATTCCATGGTGAATTTTATTCAAAAAAAAATTGCACTTACACTTACGAAAGAAAAATTTTTTGAACAAAATTTTTACGAAGAATTTTCGAAAAATTAGGAATCAAATGTATTTATTCATAAAAAATTTTATTAATAACTTTTTTCATAATTTTTTAAATTTTTCCATACAGATATCAGAAAAAATTTTATTTATTTTATTTTATTTAATTTTATGCATTATTATCCATTATTGAAATAGCCGCACTATTGTCAACATGTAGTATGTTAGGTGTATTGATTCCGAACTCTTGAAGAAGCTGTCTGATTGGTTCAGCATTTTTCCATCCTTCTAATGCAGCTGTTAATTCTGCTTCACAAATTGAATGTGGTAATCTTGACTGTTTTTTCGAAGACCAATTAATTGGTGATTTGTCAATGAAAGTAACTGTACCACTGGTTGCATTTGAATTACTATCCGAACGAAATTGAATTCGATTCGTTGGTGTTCCATGTTTGCAAAATAATCTTTTGCTTGTTCCGGTGACGAGCCACCCAAACCTGTAGACAATCAAATAATATTAAAAAAATTAGATATTCAAATAGAAAATCAAAATCGATAAAAAAAATTACCTTTCAAGTATTCGATTTCGTATGTTTTATAATTCGTTGTTTTTTTTCTCCATTCTGTAAATTGCGGTATCGAATAGAATGAACGGTAGAAATTATCACCATTAAACACATTTATGACCGGTGTGATTAATCTTAAAAATTTCCACCATTCGGTTAATGAATTCAAATTTCTGAAATTCAAATTGCAAAAAGAAAATTATATTTTGTTCAAATGAATTGTCTTGAAACATACTTGAGCTCCTTTTCCTTTTAAAGAAAAATCATCTTTGATTTTTAATGGACCATTTATCCACTTAATTTGCTTGATAATTTTTTCAATTTGAGTACTCGACATTGATGCCGATTTTAGCATTATTTGAGCAATTTTTGGCCCAAATCCTTCCACGATGTCGTGAAAAAGATCGGGTGGTGAAACTTGGAATATGTTTACGCCAATCCCATCCAAACATGATTTTTTTTATACCCAATGGACTTTTATATTTTTTGTTTGATAATTTTTCCAATTCCTCTCTATAGAGGCTAGAGAAAAATATTTTTATATATATGTAAGATAAGAACAATTTTTTAGCATGAATCTACTATTAATTGTTCCTACTGCAATGGTCGAAAGTTTCAGCAAATTTAATCAATCGTGTGATTGATATTATGGCCAGTGAAATTGACAGACGTTAGTATTGGAAATTATCTAAGCTGATTGAGTATTAACGATCAACTTTTATCAATTGAAATTGAAGTAAATGATTTTACAATTAAAAATTTGGACAAAAGATCATGAGAGGACATTGGATATTACATCCCCCCACTTTAAGACGGAAAAACAGGCGAAAAAAGGAAAGAATCAAGAAAGAATAAAGGGAATGGGAACTCACTTTTGACTCCAAACATAAATTTTCTTGGATTTCGATTTCTTGAATTTCAGAAATGTTTAAATTCTGAGATGGTTCCTCCTCGGATATCCACATTTTCGGATTTTCCACATTTAGGCTTTATATTTTTTTTCATCTATAATTTTATCATCTTGAAAATTCCATTTTTATTTTAGACAATTTCGTTGTCATATTCGGTTTACGAGTAGTTGTGGTTGTTGAGGTGGTAGTGGTAGTAGTTGACAACGTGGTGGTGGTGAAAGAGGAAGACAAAGAAAATTTGATCGGGGAAATAGTTGTTGAACGGATATTTAGAAACAAAATTTTCTTATCTAACTTTTTGCCCGGTGATGGGTTCTTGTCAAATAATGTATGTTGAGGATGAGAGATAATGAAATTACGTTTGTGTTAAAAAATGTATTTTTTATTTATAAATCATGAAAAAATAAATTAATTACATTTTTTTATACACCAAATCATCAAAAATTCGAAACATGCTGTTTTTCAACATACATTCATAGATATCGTTATTTTTTAACAATATTTTAACAAACGGACCAAATTTAATGTAACCAAATTTTTAGAAACTGATGATTTTTTAAGCTCCAAAAATATTTCATTATTTCCAAGATATTGACATTTATCAATTAACATGAATTCATCTTTATCACAATCAAATTCGTAACGAAGGACTTTATTTAGATTAACGGTGTTGTTCCATTTTATCTGATCGATTATCTTTTCAAAATATCCGAATTTGTCTAATTCAGCATCACGGTTGATTTTTGTTTTTTGTTTTCCCAACAATCTTCAACTTTACGTCCAATTTTATGACAAAATGAACATTTGAAACCATTTTTAAATTTTTTCTTTTCTTTGGCTGATTTAGCTTTTTCAGATTTTTCATTTGAGCCGAAATTAGATGAAATTGATTGAGATTTAACTTTCTCATCATATTCAATAAACTCATTCATAATGTCGTTCATTGTGCCATTTTGATTCATCATTATACGGATCAGCCAATTGTTCGAATTTAGAATTCGATCGAAGCATGCTCATAACAATCACACAACGATGTTTGTCGGTGTATTTACACTATTTGGATTCAATAGATTCGAATTTTGTTATGATTGTTTCCAACCAAGTTCTTGACCCACCGTTGGTGGAGTGGGGTGGATTCGACCCGAAAGTTGGAATGTTATTTGAGAAAGGTGGTTCATGTGTTTCACTATTTTGATTTTGGTACCTTCCATCTGGATATCTATTTCTCTTGTTTTTCTTTTTTTTCTTTTCTTGATGATGAGCATTGCTTGCGTTTTTCTAGGGTTTGTTTAGAAACTACTGCGCAAGTGTTGAAACCAGAGGTCATGCACGTCAGCGCTACGAAATCGAACAAAAATTAGAAATTCTAAAAATTCAATTGGCTTTTTGATTAATTTGTCGATGTATCTCACTAAAATAATAAACTATTAAAAATTCATCCTTTTTACCAAATGTTTTGTAAACGTGGAAGTTTGTTCCACGACAAGTTGATAAGAATATTGTTACTGTCAAATGGATTTTTCGAATCAAAAACGATGGTCGATATAAAGCACGATTGGTAGCTCGTGGCTTCAGTCAACGTAAGAATGAAGATTATTTTGAGACGTACAGTCCGGTGGTGTCGATTGAAACAATTAGATTGACGCTTTCGATCGCTGCAAGATTGAATTATAAGATTTGTCAATTTGATGTGTGCACTGCTTTCCTGAATGGTACAATTGATGACGAAATTTGTTAAATGATATTGGCTAAGCATACGTCCTTTTTTTTGTGGCACATAGCCACTGTATATAAAAAATACTATTATATTCAAATAAAGTTCATTCTTATTTTCTACATGGTAGCAAGCGGTGGTTTTGATTTTTTCTTTTCTTTTGTGAATTCCAATATGGATCAGCTACAATTGTTAAATACGTTGTCAATTACCGGTATTAAAAAGTTTGATGGAACAAATTTTAAATATTGGCTGGATGAAGTCAAGCTTTGGTGTGATGGCTGTAATCTTTCTGATTTACTGGAAATAACTTCTGAAGATAATGTAAGTGCTAACATTAAAAAAAATTGAAAATGTTACGTGCTCGAATTTTAAGTTTTATCCGAGAAGATATAAGAGAGGCATTTTTGGATTGTGAATTGCCTAGTGAAATTATAAGTCAAATTAAAAAATCGTTTCGACAAACAAAATCAATTTTATAAAACAAATTTGGTCGATAAGTTAATGAATATGAAATTAAAATCTGATGAAGATTTAACTGTTTTTCTTTGTCGTTTTGATTCATTGGTCTTACAAGCTAAAAATGCTGGTGCTGTGCTTCAAGATGATGTAATAATAAATTTTTTGTTAAATTCCTTGCCAAATGATTATGAAAAAATTAAAGAAGATATTCTTGATAATACTGACAATATTCCCGTTTCTTTGGATAAAGTAAAGGACAAATTAAGAGCAAAATTTAATCGTCTTAAAAGTCGAATTGTCACGTCATCAGAGAATCAAGCTCTTCGAGTTCGAAATCAACGTGGTAATTTTCGAACGGAAAATTTTTCAAATATCAATCGAAATTGTTTCAAGTGTGGTGGTAGAGGTCATATTGCAAGAGTTTGTCCTAGTGGTAATTTTTTCAACGAACAAAATCATAGATCTATTTCGAGCAACAATCAAACAAACACACTCAGCTCTCAAGTGAATACAAGTCATACAGTGGCTATGTGCCATACAAAAAGCACGTATGCTTAGCCAATATCATTTAACGAATTGTAAATAAACTTTTTTTAAAAATTTTAACTTTTGGATTTGATTGTTTATTTTCAGTTCTTTTGGTGATGTCTTTCCATGTCTGAAGAAGATAAATTCACCACACATCAATACTCAACACGATCAACTGGTCCTGCTCCTAGTCTCATACCAATCTCCACTCAAACAAAAAAACAAGAAAAAACCAAAACAAAAGAAGAAAATTACTGTTGACTTGACTGAAATTCTAGAAGAAGAAATGGCAGATCAAGGTGCTTCAAACGCCGGTCAAGTTGTGACTCAACATATCACTTTACAGCAACCACATACCCAAGGTCTCCCAAAAGATGAGGTAGTAAATCTCGAAAAAGACATGGCTGACAAAACAGTCGGGGGTGTCAGCGTATTTAACAATCAAGGATATGCAACATACACTGGTACTATCCCATTTGCCAAGGTTGACTGTGCCGATTCTACTGAATGTTTCAACAATTTGGTTCGCGGAAAACTAGCATCACCTTTCCCAGCATTCCCGGTAGACACAACTCGTACTGGTATGAACACTCACGAGTTTTACATTTGGTTTTGTCAAGCAGCTGGTATGGGATATATTCTTGACCGTTTAACATTGTCTGCTGAAAAAATTTCATCTGAAAACGCAATGCGTTATGGTATTGGCACTTTGGTCTCGTACAAAATCAATGAATTGACCGTTTATCCGATGAGTGTGGTCGACAAAGTTACTTTCGCCATTTTGAAATCAGCATATCCTGCTTCAATAATGACAGAGGCGTTGTGGATTACCTACAACCAGAATCAAAAATTTTCGTATTTGGGAACAATTTTCAATTACACTTTCATGACACGTACTTCAATGACTGTTACTCAACTAATTGCATATTCATATGCAAAGTTTTGCTTTGCTATGATAGGAAAAGAACCTTCAACTTCAACATGCAATCTGGTCAAAGCTTTAACAGGGGCCAAAGCTGACTTCTATTTCACCCCTGTCGAAATAGGGGTATGGGATGACATGGCTTGTGTTACAACCGAATTGAAACAAGAGATGTTGAAGTCCATGTTCAAACGACCCAATGAATTGACTGAACTGTTTGAAATTTTGTACAACCGGTTCAAAACATATGGCCTAACATCCATGATCGCGATCACCGAAGCTATTGACAAGTTCCCTCATTTCCCTTGGGATTATATCACATCAGAATGGTATCATGGTGAAATGGATAAATACATGTCAGCTGCTGAAGCAGTTACCGCCTTAGAATTTCCGGCATTGTATAAAGATGTTCTTACCGCACATCCAGTAACCGGCTATCGAAAGCTGGCAGGTTTTTGTGCTAAGGTCCTTGAATTCAGTGGTGTTAATAACACCTTGAGAAACCATGAAGGTCTCAAGCGGATCCGTTTACCAGATGACCGGGTCCAGTATATTAAAGGTCTCGTTGCTGCACCAATTGGATCGAGAAACCAGAGATTTTCACAGACAACATATGATCGATTGAAAAGATATTCAATGAAATTGTGTGGTGCTAATTTTGATGATCCGAATATTGCCGCAAGCCGACAAGGTATTATATATGCAAAAATCCGAGAACGTGAAGAACAAGAACAAGCTCGAATGCAGCAAATGTTACAACAATTTCATCAACAAGTTGGGCCGATTCCTGCAGCACCAGCTGCCCCTCGCCAGTGAGACATTTTTGGTTTGTTCTCAGTCTTATACTTTTTTCATTTTTATCTTTTATTCCAATTTAAAAAAACTAAACTTTTGAACTAAAAAACTTTAAAAAAAAACTATGAAAGAAGATTTGAAGTTCATGATTATGCTGATTGTTCAAAATATCTTGGCCTTAACATCGAGGTTGATAATGCTGCAATCTTCATTGATCAAACAAAATATATTGTTAGCATACTCATGCCAGACTCTTGGATAGTGTTACAGTCTATTAAAATATCAAATTTAAACACAAAGCAATCGTTTCAATTGATTTCAAAGGCGCTTTTGATAATGCCCCTCATTCAATAATTATTCAACAATTACAAAAATTAGCTTGCCCTTATTTTCTTCAATCCATTATTTCTCATTATTTACATAACAGAAAAGTTCATTTTCTTTCTGATCATCACAATATCACTCATCTTCCTTTGGGACGTGTGTATTAATATTCTTCGATCTACGATGTCTGATGATCTGTCAAAACGTCGAGCTCTCCGAATTAAGATTACCAAAGCGTCGCGTCAGTTGATTGTTCTATCGTTGGAACAATTATTATCTCTTCAGTATGAATACGATATCGTCAGTGAATTATGTTTATTGGAAAATCAGCAAGATTATGACGAACAAAGGTCGAAAGACGATCTTTACAAACAAAAAATTGAAGCGTTAATCGCATTCGAACGTACGAAAAACCAATTGGCTTCCATTTCCATTGAGGATGACGAGTTAGCTTCTGAATTCAACAATGTGACTGGTCCTAGTTCAACTTCAATCAATCCTCGTGGTCCACTGTCTTCGCAAGGTGATCTATCTTTTTCTCTGTCTAATCCGATTCGTATAAATAATATGGCTTATCCAACGTCTGTGCGAGCTTCTGATTTGTTGACCTCCGATGGAAATGTCATGAACTGGTGTCCGTTTCGTTTGTCTTTTGAGGACGAAGTTATGAAAAACCCGAATTTGTTGGATACTAAAAAACGTAATCTTCTACTTTTACAAAATGATGCTTTGGACCGTGGAATGGATTTAGTTCGTCAAGAGAAAACATTGCAACATTATCTCTTCTTTATTTTTACCAATAAATTTATAAAATTTTCCCATTATGAAAAACGGTATGGTTGCCAATAAATTGATGATGATGTCCAAAATTATACCCCAAAAACCGATACGTTCATCATTGTTGATGATGATTTTTCTTTCGGCTACCATTTCAACTTTTATTTCTTCGGTATTTGATTTCATAATTTGAGACATTGGATATTACATAGATATTCACATGCCCACGTCGATGAAAATATTGATAAAACTTTATACGACGTACTCACTATAACAAATGAAATACCAAGTTACCGAAAAAAGAACCAAATAATAATAAATATTAAAACGATGATTGCTAAAAGAATTTGAAGCGTTAATTCAATTAACATAAATACATTATTTCATATTCAACAATTAATCATTAGTCTAATAGTCTTAGGGTTACCAGACGTCCGGATTTTGCCCAGACATGTCCGGATTTTCAGTAATCTGCCCGGACTTTGTTCGGATTTGAAAAATGACCAAAAAAATTAAAATTTGTGAAAATTTCATCATATGTTAATTTATAATAAATAATAAACCAATTATAAAGCCACAAAACGTAACAAATTTTATGAGTAAACCCAAAGAACTGCTAGAAACTCATAAATATATGATGTAAGCTTTACATTAATGTTTACAATTGTAAAGCATTAATGCTTGGCAAGATTTTTTCAATGGTAGCAGCAAAGTAATTTCAGAAATTGAAAGTCTTAACGCCTTTCTCATATGCTTCCATTTTCCGTTTTGTTCTTCGTTTCCTGTGACTTGTTTTGTTTTTATTTGGAAAATGTACGTTTTTTTATCGATGAGTGTGGACACCTCAAATGTGCGAAACATTAAATTTTTTTCCATCGTCGTCAGATACTTTGATAAAAACGAAATCAACAATAAATTGGTTGATTTTCTTAATATTATCGGCGAAACATCTGATATTCTTGTAGAATGTGTTTTAAAAACAATCGAAAAATTCAAATTGTATTTTCGATTTATTGATTTTTGTTTGGCTGATAAATTTTTACCTGAAAAATGCCGATTTTTGTTTAATTTTTTGAAAATAATTTCCAAGAATTTTACGCCACTGTTTATGAATATCTGAAAAGTTGGAAACTTTTCATACCACAAATGAATTTGTTCAAAAGTATTCAAACTAAATTGATTTATTGTTAATTATTCATTTCTCCAGTTCACGAAATATGGAAAAGTAAAAATATCACTAATTCTGGTTTGAAATTTTCTTGGGTCAAGCCCAGTGATATATGCAGATTGATCATGTCAAATAAATCGATTGTTTCTCAAATATTGTTGGAACAAGAAATTAAAAAAAATAATGAATTTGACAAATTGGCATTCAACGAACATTTACAATGCAATACCGAACGAAAAAAAAACTTTTGGGTACACTCCAATTGGAGTTTGGATTTGACGATTTCTCAATCGTCAATCAGCTCGGAGTGAAGAATAATAACCACACGTATATGGCATTATATTTGACGTTTCCACATATACCATTGAAAATGAGATTGAAACAGAAAAACATTTTCATGGTTATGCTGGTAAACCGAAAAGAAATGAAAGATGCTGGTTATAATCTTAACGATATTTTCAAGCCAATGATTAATGATATGAAATTGGCTATGTCTGAAGGTATTGCCATAAATTCCACAGAAAACCAAAAATTCGCAATCTCCATTAGCGCCGTTTGTAGCGATAATAAAGGAATTTATGAATTTTTAGGTATTATTCATATATTAATGTTTATAAATAAATTAACACAAGTATTAATTATTTTAGGTTATAATACGGCATTCCAAGCTCGTTCATTCATATGTCGGGTATGTGGAGCTAAAGGGTCCAAAAATGAGCTTGGAACTTGCAAAGAAATTATTGATTTCAAAAATATATGCTATCAAAAAGCCTGGAAAGATGACGAAGCTGAAAAAAATATCAGATAAAAAATTTGAACTGGCAAATTATTGTGTTTTCAATGATTTACCAAATATTTGCATTTCTGATTTAGCCCCATTGGACTGGTAATTAATTTATTTAACATTTATCGCTTTCAGATTTGCTAAATTGAATATTCTTTTTTTCAGTATGCATGACTTTGATGAGGGCATCGCCGAGCAAATAGTTTTTGCAATTTTAAAAATTTTGAAAATCTCGACCGATTCGGTTGAGAAAATCGTAAATCGTAATCGTAATCGTAATCGTAATCGTAATTTTTCAAGAACGACAAAGTCAAAATTCGTGGTTTCAGCGGTTCCACCAAATCCAAAGGGAAAAAATTTAAGCTCAAAGGGACCGCAGCTTCTGTAATTTTTTTAAAAATCAATATATTCAACACATTAATTTTTTTATGTCGATTGGCTTATCAGAAGGATTGTGGATACAACGTATTATAGAAAATTTTGATATTGTTCCATCTACTATTGCAATATATGTTAGAACGACATCCTACGAATGCACACATCTTCTGGCTGGTGTACCTCGAGTCTCTGACTATATCAGAATCTGCAACATCAAAAGAAACCAGAAAAAGATGGGTACCGATCCGGAATCGATCAAAAACTTGTTAGCGATCGAATACGATAAAACAAAAAACTCATACCTGAACGATGCGAACGAGAATTTTCGGGCCTTCTTCCCAACAGGGGTGCCAAAGTATTTCTGGCCAAATTTCTACACCACACAATTTACGACCGGACATGGATGCTTCAATGAATACCTGTCTAAGATGGGGAAAGCAGAGAACCCATCGTGTCCGTGCAACCACACAGACACACAAACACCAACACACCTACTCACACACTGCAACCTATTTAACACTCCCTTCAACACACCACATTTATACACCAACACACAAGAACACACATACATTTTTACAAAGACATGTAAATACATAATACATACACTAAACACACAGCTAAATCTGTGATTCTTTTCTTTTACTTAATTTCTTTATTTTATTTTATTTCTTTTTGACTCATCCCTTGCATTAGTGAAGTGCAAACACCCTAGCGGGTGAAGCACTAATAAAAGTTATTATTATTATTATTATTATTGCAATATATGTTGATAATAAGTCTACAATAAAGATTGCTGAAAATGGTCCTTTAGGTGAATCGAAACATATCGATACAAGAGCCCATGCTGTGAAGGATTATATTGACCGTGGTTTTGTGAAATTATTGTACCTGAAATCTGAACTAATGTTGGCTGATTTCCTTACTATTGGTTCCCCTCTTTGAATGTTTTCCAAAATGATGAAATCAAGATGCCTTTTTGGTATTCTGGCAATTACCATCATGTTACACGGGATTATAAAAGCCATCGATATTCGACTGGATTACGACATGGAGAAAGAAATCTTTTTCCCGATGGATTACGAAACTCATCCAGAAGATGTCCATGAAATTAACGTGTTAACCGATGCGACCGAATCGAGCACCGATCGATGTTAGGTTACGGGATGTTGATAATGAAGGGAATAGTGCTGATCGGTGATTTGATGAAATATCCTTTCCGATTTTGTGCTACCAGAGGTCGAAATCAACCACCGATTGAACCATGGAAGGGAGATATTCCTCTTGTCATATACCCTCACCAAACCACCGACTTTCGGAAATGCCATTTTTCCTTTATAAAAAATAATAATCAGAATTTTGTAATCTAAAATTTTTCCTCAAAATCCTCTGTGAAACAATAAATTTTTTAAACAATTTTTTTTTTATAAACTAATGATGAATGTTAAAAGAAATATTGAATTAGTTGTATAATGTAACTGTTGAGTATATTTAATTAGTATGTTCAATAGTGTAAATAATGTATATATATGAAGTTTGTTAACCAGTTATTTATTATGATTAAACACATATTTCATCAACTGCTAACTATTGAATCTTATACTTCCAAGCCTCTTGCTAAATTCTTAACAATGAACAATTACACTAACCCATAAACTAAAAATGCACAGAGACAGAACCGCAAAACGTTTGGAAAAGATTTCTTTAATGTTACAATAAGAGAATGTTGTATGATTGAAAATAGGCAAAATAACGTAATAATGGAAACCAAACCAAAAGATTACCAATGCCTAAAACATTTTTCAAAATTGATATATGTCAGGGTTTTGTTTTGTTTCTATGAAAATCATAACAATACCAAAAATGGAAAT